ACTCTAGTATCGGAGATGGCACCCGTCCCGCCTCGAAAATGGAGTAAGGAAGGCTTTAAGAAACCAGACTTTGTTATGCTTGCTTCGCAGGTAGATTTCCTTGAAAAACTCACCATACCTCTCTGGGTTTTATTTACCTGGCTCTACTGAACACCAAGTGAAAAAGAAACTCCAACACTTTCGCTGTTGGGATACCTGGACATTCATGTTTAATTACGAGATAATATGTGTCTCATATTGACATATACCCTTAACCTTCTTTTCCAAGGAAGGAAGTATTAAAATGAGGTGGACTCTCAAAGCTAGATGAACAACTATGGGAACTAATTCATATACCCCATGCCCTGATTCACAAAGCCACACACCATCAGCATCTTCATTGCCTTGCTACTTCCTTAGGAAGGCAATCACCCGCCTAAAGGAGAGGGTTTGGAATGGTCACTCCCGGACAGGAGCGTAGACAAACTGAATGTGAGCTGGTAACATATGGTGGCTGGCCCTGGAGGGGCAGTAGGGGTCATGGGGCTCCATGAGAGAGGAGCCTTGTGCCGAATGCCAGGGACGAATGGCCAGATTAGCAGAACTACGGGAGATCCCTCAAATGCTAGCCTGATACATTTTCCACTCACGAAAGAGACATCCCAAGAGTAGGGGGATGGGTTGGACACCGAGAGCTTCCCATCAGCACCTCCTGGGCCTGGGGTGCCCTGGCTGGAGCCTGCTCTTGGATAGAGCGCCGAGCTCTGTGCGCCTCGTTCCCAACTGGTGGCGCGCCGAGTTCTGGGCACTGTCCACTGTCCAGCAAGAGGCCTGGCTGGGGCTCCCTTTCCTTGGGCTATGTACTTTCAACCAGTTTTGAGCAGCCCCATTTCAGATTGGCCTTTTTATGTTTGATATAAAGAATAGTTGTTGGCCAATTTCATCTTTTCATCGCTGTTCTCTAGGCCTGAATCCAAGCAGTTTGTCAGATGCTCATTAACTCCCCCCTTGGCTCTTTCTAGTGTGTCTCCTAAGCTCATTGTGCCAAGAACTAACGCTTTCTTTTACACGAGTCTCTTTCTCTGCTCCATCAGGGAGACAAATTACTTTCCAAAAGGGATCGCCAGGGATGGTTTAATGAGAATTTCTTTGGGGCTAGGCATGGAACGCAATGTAGTTAACATTCGGTGGACTTAATTGGACTTTTCTTTTCTGCCTCTTTTAAAAAAAAATCTGAAGCTATCCTGTTAATCTCTCATTTGTAATCAATTGTGTTGACTAAACAAAAGTCTAGGTCGTCTTTTCTTCCTGTCCCAGACAATCCTTTGTTGCCTCTAAATGCCTCATTCTTGAGTGATCCTGGTCTCGTAGATGGGCCCGGTTGTTGACAGTTCATTATTGCGCTTTTGTCCATTTAATCTTTCTTGCTGTGTTTTGCATGTGCATGCCTTAATGAGCTCCGTTGGCAATTAACATGTTTCTAGGAGCAAACTGGTTGCTCAGACGTTTGAGAGGCCAGTGCAGGGAAAAGGACAACGCAGCTGCCTTGAGGTTGTTTATTTCCCAGCGCATTCTCAGGACTCGGTCCTCTCTCTGGCCGCCCCCTCTCCAGCCTTCCCCAGCCCATTCCCCACCAGCACACCTGGATGTCTTGCTGCTGCCACTCTTGCCCCCCACCCCCAGACTCTTGGGAGCTGAACAGCTCCATGGGGACCAGCCAGATCGATGCGCTTCTGCGGACAAGGCAAGAAGGAGCACAGGGCCCCCCGAAATGTGTCTGGATGCTGGCACCTTCTCTGTGTCGCTCTTTACAGAGAGGAACCTCTACCCGCCTAAGGCAATAGGACTGTACAATCTGTTATGTACAAGGCTGTGGCTTTGGAAGGTTTTTTTTTTTTTTTTTTTTTTTTTTTTTGAGTCTTGCTGGCAAGATTGCTGAAGTGTGAGCAGTCATGGACAGAACAAACATCTTGTAGGGGAAAAGATAATTGGAGTCTTTTTTGTGTCTGTGACAGGATTCCCCTCCCCCGCAATTTGATTTTTTTAAAAATATTTTTAAGGGCGGCCTCTTCAATTTAATCAAAGTTAGAATATTAATATGCAGTGGATGACTACCTTGTTTAAGTCATTTACTAATATCGTAAACTGCAAGTCATGCAAACAGTTTAATATTAAGAGGGGAAAATGCGAAAACAAAGCCTTTCACCCCTCAATTCCGATGCATGGTGAATAACTAAGAAGGCTCGGAGCTAAGATGGTTACTGCAAGAGCTTAGCGCTGGCTTCGGAATGCGTCCTGCCTGCGCGAAGTGTTTGGCAATTCAGGCAGAAGGTTCCTTTGCTCTTTGCACTACCACTCAGGTGAAGGAACCTTGTCCTCCATCGCACACCTGATGGAAGCTGGTCTCTTAAATCCGGGAGAGACCTCAACCTGTGGCAAGCAGAGCTAAGCCTTATAGATACAGAAGACCTCTGTTTATCTCCAATTACTGGCAGATGCGAACCAACACCTTCTCAGGTGAGAGCGATTGACAGAGGCTGGTGCGAAGCTTAAATAACAATCAAGTTGCGAGGAAACAACCTCAAAGCGTGCAAAGTGTGCAAGCAGCCCTGCCCAGGCATCCCTCTGAGCCACACAGCTCCCTCACCTCTGCCTGACTGCAGAGATGAGCAGTCCATCCGGGAACTGCCTTCCACTTTTTCCCAGGAGTTTATTTGCTGCCTGATTGACAAGCCAGCAATCTCGGAACCTGGAAACAGGTTTTTCCCATTCCGGGAGATAGCTGACCCTTTCCATCTCTCTCCTGGCAAAAACTTTTTAACGCCAGACTTTCTCAAAGAAAGTTCTCCCACTTGATGGTTACAGGTTTCTTTCCCTGGACTGGTATCCATCAAGAAGAGAACTTGAACACGTGCATTCTACTCGCCCCTGCCTCCACCACCACAAAATCCAGGAGCTGTGGAAGAAGGGGGCTCCCCCGGACCATCCTCTGGCCTCCTAGTTGCCTATCTACAAAGGATCCTCCACGCAGGAAGGAAAGGACTTTGGTCGACACGACTGTTAACAGGGGCACCGAAGAACTCCCGTGGGTGGGATTAAAATTGAGAACAAGGACAGGTACCCACTCCCCGAGCCCGCCCGCCGTCCCCTCCGGGGGATATAAGCTTGGGAAAGGCGAGGCACTGTTTCCTTATCCTTAGCCTGCACACCCTCCTCTCCATCCTGGAGTTTCCTGGGGTTTATGGCACCGACGGGGACTGCGGAGTTAAAACCGCATACCCCTCTGGGTCCCAGTCTCACTCCGCGAACCGCAGCCAGAACGAGCTAACATTTAAATTCCCTCTCGCTTCCTCGTCCCCCCTCCCCTGGCTGCGCCTTCCTAGACTTAGGGGGAGGGGGAGGAATACAAAAAAACGAGGACGCTCTCCTTTCAGGAAATGGAATTCTAATGTGCGCGTTCCTATTTCTGAATCGGAGGTACTAAAAATACCCCCGCGACAGCCTGAGGAAGCTGTCGCCGTCCTCTGTGCAAACAAAATCGACAATTCTCCTTCCCGGCGCAATGGGCCTGCGAATCGGGCGGGGGCCGGCGACAGGAGAGCGCTTCCACTCTGCTTCCAGCGTCTCTTCCCCGGCCCAAGCCCGAGAGTCCTCCTCCCCCGCGCGGGCCCGAAGGCGGCCAAGGTCTCCCCCAAGCCCGGAGCTGGAATTCCTGCCTTACCCAGCCCAGGGTCCCCGCGCAGGCCACTTCGCTCGTCTCTGCCTCGGTTTCTTCCTCCGTTAAGTGGGCACAATCACTCCCAGCGAGAGAACGTGTGTCTGGCGTGGAAGACATGCTCAGGGGAATGAGCTGCTTTTCACCTGTGCAAGCCCCTTGGCGCACTCAGCGCCTACTGCATACCATGCGTTGGGCTTACCTGCGCTCAAGTCGCTTTCAGGGTTACGTAGGGGTTGCCCCTTGGTTTATTTAACCATCCTCCCCTTCCTCCCCCCCCCCCCCCCGTGAGCCGCCACTGGCAGTGAAAATCCGCGAGGGGTCAGCGCCCAGCCACCCTCACCCCCTCCACGGGGAGGCTGCGTGGACGCGCGCTCCTGGGCCCCACGCCGCATTTCCTCCCGGCACTGGGGAACATTGTTCCAGAAGACGTGGGCTGAATGGCGGCGCGGATATTAAAAGTGTGTGTGGAGGGAGGCCGGGCGCGACGCGCCGGTAATCCGAGCTCTTGATTATCAGATTCGGATCAAACGGGGCGGCGGCGGCCGGCCCCCTCCTGGGAATGATTAGATGATTAATGTAATGCTGTTTGAAGGGTCTCTGTTTTCTCTCTTAATTTGGGTCATTACTTAGAAAGCAAGCGTGAGATCATTTCATCAGCGTGCTCGGCGGCGGAGATAGCTATTCAGGAAATGGGCTAACTGCGCGATAATCAGGGCCCGGGAGGCGGCGGCAGTGGCGGCGGCAAGCGCAGGGAGACCCGGCGCGCCCTCCCGCGGTAGGGCGTACGGCACCGGGCGGCCAGCCCCCGGGACCCGGAGCGCAGGCGGGGTTGGGGATCCTTAGCCGCCGGGGAAGACTGCGAGTGCTGCTTGTCCTCCTTTGGTTTACTTTGGACCACAGGATGCGCATGGAAGCGCCCCAGCAGGGCAGTGCCTGCTGAGTCGGGCGGGCGCGCCGCTGGCCTCGCGAATGCACCTCAAAACCCAACCACGTTTAACGCCCCCCTCTTTCCCCTCTAATTTTCTTACCCAATAAGGCAACACCCAGAATGCCAAGCGTCCAAGCAGTCACCAAAGAAAACCTTGGCACCTCCTGGAGGCCGATTAAGCCTTTAGCTCCTGGGTGTCTGCGCACGCCAGCGCCGCTGGAGCACCCGTTTGGCCTCACCCCGGCCCAGCGGCACCCACGGAAGTCGCATTTGGGGAGGGAAATGTTAGAAATGCCTATTTCCCTCTCGGTGTGGGGGTGGCCGAACTGACCACGCGGCGAGGGGAAAGGGGGGAAAGAACACGCGCACCAATGATTCTGTTTATTGGGTCATAGATATGTAATATATTCCGTGTTCGCTTGTACAGGAGGATCTACATAGCTGTATAAAGATGGCTGGGGCGCCGCTCTCTTGCGGGGTGCTCACGGTGACAGGCTGCCCAAGGAGAAGCCCAGGCCTGGAATTAAATACGTTTCGGCGCACTGGATTTAAATAAGTTTCCTGAATACACAAAGGTGGGAGCCACGCGAATGCTGCCGGTCCTCGAGGAAACGTATAGCTTTCCAAAAATATGCTGGTTTCGATAAATAGATTTTAGCCTCTCTGCTATAGTTTTTTTTTCTTTTAATTTTAGAAATAAGTTTATACGTGTGATCTGTTTGGGGGTAGGATGGGGCGAGAAGGGAGGGCCAGGCGGTGGCTTTCAGCTCTGCACTGTCCTGGTTAGGTCCTTTGCGGAGGGGGCGGCGGGGCCCACGCTGTCGTGGAGTTTGCGCACGTGTTTCTTTAAGTCAAAGTTTCTGCAAAACCCTTTGCCGCAAGTGGCGCACGTGAAAGGCTTCTTGTCGTTGTGGGTGTGCATGTGGAAGGTCAGGTTGTAGACCTGGTGGAAAGCCTTGTTGCAGATAGTGCATTTGTACTGCTTCTCGCCGCTGTGGGTCAGCTTGTGGTTCTTGTAGTTCCCTACAGGAGACCAAAACACAAACAACACAAAAGTAGGGGTAGGCAGTGGAATGAGGGGGCCTGAGCACCCCGGGGGTGGCTCAGGTGCCCGCGCAAAGAAAGCGACGCTTGGTTAGGCGGGCGCGACCTCTTCGAGTGAAGAAGTTGTCAAACTTCGTATGCGTCAAGCCCGCTGAGCTCCCGACTGGACAGAGCTCGGAGTCTTGCCGAGCTGCCCCGCGCCCCTGCCCCGCCCGGGATGGAGCCCCAAGGAAGCGTCCCCTCCCGCCGAGCTCCGCCGGCCGGGAAACTTTAGCGCAGCCCAGAGACGCACAGGGTCTTTGGCGGGGTAAATGCCTCGCTCCAAGAAATTCGCACAAAGCCGGGCTTCGTTCCTCTTGTCTTTTCCCCTCCTCAGTTAAAAAGTTACTTCCCCCCACCCCGAACACCCCCACGACCACCTGGAGATCTAAAAGTCCCCAGAAAAAAATCCGAGCGGGGCGCTGGATGTAGGGGGCACTGAGGCCCGGACCAGTGTCCCCGGAGCCCTAAAGTTCTTCCCGGAAGGTGCATTTGGGTCCATTTCTTTTTTTCATTTGAAAGGGGTGCCTCGGCTACAAAGGGATTTTTTTTTCTTTTGTAAGGCAAAATTCACTCCTTTTCCTATGTCCTTTCCTTCTGCATCCTTCCTTCCCTTCTACCTTCCAAATTCGGAGTCTCCCAGTGCACCCCACCAGCATCCAGCGAGCTCTACAAACCCTGCGAGGAGAGCTTCCCCTTAAACCCGACACAACCCGATTGCAAAGAATTGCAGCGCCCGAGCCCGCAGCGTGCGCGCCGCCTTTCCCCAGAGCCCTCCTTCGCGGTCCCTTCCAGCCACGACCCGCCGAGTCCCCAGGTGAGGGGAGGGCCTCGCCCGGCATGTTACCTTTTTGGTGAAAGCCTTTGCCGCAAAATTCGCAGACGAAGGGCTTGTAGCCTGCGTGGATGCGGATATGCGTGTTGAGCGTGGAGCTCCGATTGAAGGCTTTGCCGCACTGGTTGCATTTATGTGGTTTTTCCTGCAGAGAGGGGCGCGCACACACTAAGGCCAAGACCCTGGAGGGAAGAGGCTATCTAGAGGACACCTCGAGGGGACACGCGCCTCCCCCTCCCCCGGAAGTGGGAAATCCTTGGCCTTCGGACCCTCAGTGCTTCGCGCCGGCTCCGGGAGTAAGGGTGTAGTTTGAGGGCAGGAGGTAGGGAGAGAAGGAGGTTCGTGCGTGCGCGGGTCAGGCCGACCCAGGGCCACGTACCTGGGTGTGGATGATTTTGTGTCTGCAGAGCGTGCTGGCCTGTCGGAAGCCTTTCCCGCAGACTTTGCACACAAATGGTCGGGCTCCGGTGTGGACAGGCATGTGGCGGGTGAGGTTATAGTGAGCGTTAAAAACCTACGGGGGGGACACGAGGGGAGCCTTGTCGTGCATCTCTTGGGTGACCTAGAGCCAGCCCTGGGAATCCAGAGCCCGTGTCCCGCCACTGATGTACCTCTCTAGAGACCAGAGCCCCTCTTGGCTTGTAAAATGCTTCCCAAACCCACAGCTTAACCCCAATGCTATGTGGCCACCGTCAAGAGCATCCCATTTTATAGGATAGGAGACTGAGGCCCAAGGAAACCCCCCCTCCCCACCTTGCAAGCACACAGCTTCCTGGGGCAGCTCCTCTGTTGGAGAAAGGGGGCGTTCCGGGCTGTTTCCAGGGAAGCAGCAGCTGCCGGTCGCCCCTCCCTGTCCCTACTGGTCCCTGGGACTCTCACCTTGCCGCACACCTCGCAGGTGAAGTTTTTAGGCTTGCCGTCCGCTGCGCCCCCGGGCAGCTTGCTGTGGCCCTTGACGCCGCCGCGCTCGGCGGTCAAGGCCGAGTTCTCCTTCAGCACCTGCTCCAATGGCGCGGGCAAGCGCTCCTTATGGGGGTAGGGAGCTGGATGGGGGAACTTGTCCGCGGCCAGGCCGGCCAGCTTGGCATTCTCCAGCAGAAAGAGCTTGGGGTGAGCCGCCAGGGCGGCCGGGGCCTGCGCGTTGAGGAGGCCGGAGGGGAAGAGGTGGCCGCCGAGAAGCTCGGAAGGCGGGTAAGCGGTCGAGTCCAGGTAGTTGAAGTAGTAGAGAGAGCCGCTGGCCGGCAGCCCCACCGCCTGGTTGATGACCTGCGGCTTGATGACCCTGCCCGCGGGCAGCGCAGACGGCGCCAGGCCCAGCTCGGCCTTACAGCACACGCCACAGTTGGTTTTGCACAAGCCGCTGGCGCCGCACACCGGGGCCCCCCCGCCGCCGCCGCCTCCTCCTCCTCCTCCACTGCCACCGCCGCCGCCCGCCCGGAGGCTGCTTTTCCAGAGCTCCGAGTAACTGAGCAGTGTCTTGGACGGCACCTCGTAGCCGAGGGGCTGCAGGGGGATCATACAGGGCAACGGCGAGCAGAGGTTGAGCAGTTTCTTGCTCTGGCTGCCGTCGGCCTCTAGCGCCCCAGGCCGGGGCTCAAAGGGCGCGCGGGGCTCCGACGTCTTGGCCATGATGCGCTCGATGGAGAAGGCCAGCGTCTTGGAAGTGGCCGGCGACGCTCCGGCGCGCGGACAGGCCGGGGGCACCATGGTCTCCAGGGAAGCGGAGCTTGCCATGGCGCGCGGAGCCGAGCCGAGCCAGGCTGGGCCGGGGCGCAGCCTCTCTCCTCTAAGTCTGCATTCCGGAAAAGGCAGGGGGGGAAGCCGCAATTTAATAAGCACCTAGTTGGGCCCGGGTCACCCATTTGCATTCAAATGAACAGAGGCAGAACAAAGTGCACCCAAGGGTACCAAATTACCGCCCATTAACCCGGCGCGCAAAGGAACCCACCAGCTCCTGCCCTGGGACTTTGAAAGAGGGAAGAAGTGGGAGGGTTTACAAAGGAAAAGGAGAAGCGGGGGTGGGGGGGAGAAGAAGAAAAGAGCCTCAAATTAACCCCCCCTCCCCTTGAGCCCTTCCCTGGACCCGGGCCTCCGCCGCGCGTGCTGCGAGCTGGACAGTGAAGGGGCAAAGTTACGGAGGCCCGGGAGAGCCACCTCGCCTTTACCTCTTGTCCCCACCGCCAAGGAGAAGCGTTCCGAGCCATGCAGCGTGCCTCTTCTGTCACATTTTGATAGCAAACATCTTCCCCTCCGCGTGAGATCACTGTCTTTTACATTCAGCTGACATCACATGAAGTCACTTGAAGTGGAATGACTTGGGCGGCGGCGCGGCTCCCGTAGCGGCCCCTGTGTTCCCCCGCGCCTGCCGGCCGCCGCCGCCACCGCCCCTCAAACTTTAAAAGGAGGCAACTGGCGCCCGCGCTCCCCTCGGGAAAGTGCGAGCGGTTTGCGAATCGGGAAGGAGGGAAGAGACGGGAGGGGGAGGGGGAGGAATCGTGATGGTTTTGCTGGTGGAAGGAAAGGGGGGGGGGTGCGGAGAGCCCGAACCCAAACCCAGGCAGAGTTCCGTGCGTGATTCACAACTTTGGGGGCCTGCAGGTTTGGGGGACGCGGGGAGGGCGGGGGGGTCCCGAGCACGCCGCCCCGAGGAGCCCCTGGGTGTCCGTCCAGTCGCCGAAGTATCCCTTAGCCCTGCGCAGCCGAGCTGGGCATCGTGCTAAACTGCCATTTACCCACGGAGCCGGCGCCAGCCCCGAACACGCGCAAATGATAATTACCTCATTAGGATGTGGCGCATGGACGCGGGCGTCGCGTTTAGAGGGGTGGGGGGAACTTGTTAATGGGGAAATATTAATTTATGCAAAAGCAACGAGCTCGCCTTGGCTGGCGTCGGAGGTCGGGAGAGCGCTCCCGCCGCCTAAGGACGACCCCGAAGCGAGCGCCCCGGAGAGCCAGGCCGCGCGCCGGGATGCCGGGGAGGGGGGGTTGTTGGGGGGGGGCGGCTCCGCAACGGGCGGGTGCGCCTCCAGCTCTCGGGCCGGCTCCCCGCCTGAGGCTGGGGGGAGCCTGCACGGCTCGCTGGAGGGCTGTTCGAGATCCTAATCGATCAGAACTGCTGGTTTATGATCGGGTTGCTGGGGCAAAGCCGTGCTGTGTTGCCGGCGGACGGCTGCGTGCAGGGAGGATCGAGGGCAGTCTCCCCGCCGATGGGTACTTACTGTTTGTATAATTGAGAAGGTCCAATCTCCACCTGTTTAAGGAGCAGATTGAAACAGCAGAACCTCCCCTGGATCCTATTAAAACGTTTTTCCTCCTAAGGCCATTCAGTCGAACCAATTTTCCGAAGTGATTCATGGAGCTGAATTCTGCCAAGGCAGCTCTTTCACTTTTAGCCACTAAAGCACTGCGTGGAACCGGGTTTTGTGTTTTTCTAAAATAAAGAGAAGGATTATCAGAGGGGAGAGGGAGGGGGCCTGAAGGGGGGCGGGCAGAGACTTAGTGTGGCCAGAGGTACAAGCAGTGGAAAGAAAAGGCCCTTTGCTAGACAGGCCCCAAGTAAGTTCGGAGGAATTCGGCGTTTTGTGCCTGGCTCACAAAAGCGGCGCAATCGGCGCTTGGTTTGGAGGGGCTGAATTCATCTGTTTGCAGACCATTCCACCTGCGTATCACAACAAACTGCTCAAAGACGTTCCCGCACTTTCAACAGGCCGGGTGCTCTTGGCAACAACAAAAGTGGTCCAGGCTGAGAGTTCTTAGGGTGGAGGTGGGGGTGGGGGGGGAGCGGAAGGCTAGCGAAAGGGGGAGCAAGAGAATTAAGTTGAGGAAGAGGGGGGAGCTGGGGGTTTTGAAAACTTTTGGCTGGTTTTGTGCACAGGACAATTATATCTTGCCAGCCGGCTTTTTGCAAGGCCATGAGCTTTGTAGCTGCAACCACAGTTTAAGAGGATTATGGTGGGTATAATATGAGCAAACAGGGTTGAGGGTTTGATAGTGAATTCCATCTCCAGAGACACACGGTCATGTGCAACCAGAGACAGTGCTGGTGGAGGCAAACCCTTCCCTTCTTCACTCAGGAACAGGTAGTGAGGGGCTGGGCATGCCCTCCCAGATCCCCTCCTTCCACCCAGCACAGCTGCAAAACATCCTGGGAGAACTGTCCAGGGACAGGACCAGGGGAGCTCCACTTTTAACTTCTGTCAAATGACTCCCTTTTCCCCCTGCAGACTTCTCTTTCTACCTCCCAATCCAGTTGCTAGCTCCTCTGTTGTGCCCTTCAAACAAGATAAGGACAGGCAGGTAAGGGAAAGGCAAGGTGTACTTGCAAAGAAAGGAGAGGGGAACAAAGAGAGGCCTGGGGGTGGGGTGGGGTGGGGAGGTCACCTGGAGGGGGAACTACCAATAGGTTAATGTTCTCACCCCACCAAGCCCTGAAGCTTTCCCTAAATTCAGCAGTCATAAATCTGTTCATTTAATACCTGCCCCCGCCAACACACACACACACACACACACACACCCCAGTTTCCAGATTTCCAGGCTAGAAAGAGACTTGCTCATCTGGAGAACATTTCCATACAGCCTGGCTCATTTAGGAGATATTCAGACAGACAGAATTGCAGACACAGTGTACCCCCATCCCAACCTTAAGATGAACACAAGAACACAGACTGCTGCCTCCCTCCCCCCAATAGGAAACAAACCAACTCACCCCAACATTGAAACAATACCAGTATACCTGCAGCCTCACAAACCCCGAATTTCTATCCCGACTTTCCAGTGGGTCCTGCTCGGCACCAGCACCGCACCCCAGCCCTTTTTCCAAATTGGATAATTGTTCATCTCTGCAACAGCTCCAGAGAGATGCTGGTTTGAAAGCTCCATCACGCCGCCAGGTTTCCAGGGGGCTTCCCAGGGACCTGCCTTGCCATCCCTAGCACTTTTTGCGGCTACAGCAGCCATCTCTCTCGCCCCGGCATCACAAAGGAGTGCTACCTCCACAGAAAGAAAACATTTGGGCAAAAACAAGTTGCCCCTAATGTGCCTCCCTTTCCAAATGTTGGGTGAATACACTGGCTTTTATGAAAGTATTTAATTAGCTCCCACCAACTTCTCCTTCCCTTGCCTGCAGATTATAGTGAAGTGGAGGGTTGGAAACTATTTTACACCTTGCCACTCACATGTTAATTAATCTCTATCTAACCCTAATTGCAGTTTATTCAAGCACCGCTCAACAGCTCACCCACACAATAAACACTGATCCTACTTTTATACATATTACTTCACGTTAACACATTGAGTAATTAACTCCAGTACCAACTAATAGTGCAAACAAATATTTTCTGTAAACGAGATGATTTCAGGCAGAATAATAGAGGACCAGGGAAACAGGGCGCATCGTGGAGGCAGTGCTGAGATTTTCATTTGCCGTCCCTAACCCCCCAAATTCATTCTCACAGGCAGTACCTTTTTTTTTTTTTTGAGATTATTGAATTCAAAAAGAAGGGCAACTATGTAAATGAAAATTTCACAAATTTATAGAGTTGGTGGAGGGGTTCTCTAGGATGGACAATGACATTTTTCTACCTCCACATCTTCAGTGGGGGGAAAAATACAAAATACGCTGACATGAAGGGCAACCCGAGACAGACTGCAGGGCTATGTCGCTGTTTCAGGGATGTGCATCTGTTCATGCAAAAGGGGGGTTTTCTGAAACTGCTTGCCTTAAAGGAGTCTTGCTCCCTAAACGATGAGTTTCCAGGACAAGTGGGCCGGGGAGGTGGTGAGACTCTGCAGCTTCAGTTTCCCTGCTTACCAGGACTGGGATAGGAGCTTCACTTCGGGGGTGCTGGCGCCTGGAGATCTAGGGCCAGCACTAGTGGGCCGCACGTGATGGCGGCCCAAGCGAAGTCTTCTTTGCCAAGTGCACCCTCTCCACCCCTGGACCGGATTCCCAGGACTTGCAGGGGAAAACCCCGGGGAATCCGGGCCCTCTGCTGCCGGCCTCGCTCCACAGCGTGGGCTGCAACCGATTGCGCAAGGAAACTCAGCCTGCACCCCCCGGGGTCCTCCCCCGCCGGAGACTTCCGCTCCAGGCCTATCTCTTTCACAGAGATTCAGCCAAAAGCCAGACTTGCTTCTGCGCCATCTGGCCCTCGCGCGGGCCTCAATCCCGGGCCTCGGTAGGCAAACCCCCGGCAGAGTCAGGCCTGGAGTGCTTCTCTGGCCTCTTCTCTTTCCCTTCCCACGCTGCGGCTCTGTGGGGCCTGCCTGGGTCTGCGACCCCTGAGACCCGCGGCCGTGCGACGATGGCGCGCCCCAGCCAAGCGACTCACGCCGCTGATTGGGGGATCCGGCCCAACCCCAAGGACTGGAGCGCAGTGTTTTAATTGAAATCGCAGGTTTAAGCACAGCTGGCGGCTGTCTATTGATTTTACAGGAGCTTCTCTTGCAGGAAGCATATTAAATATGACTGGCACCGCTGGGGCCGAGCCTCTCCTCCCGCCCCTTCCCTCTGGCCATTTTATGGTCACTAACCCGAACCACTGTAATGATGACTTTCGTTACAAAACAATTTTTTTTTAAATGCCAGAAATCGCCCTCACTTAAGGACGGATTACTTAGCAGACGCCTTCCCGCGGTGTAGACAACCTCAGAGGAAAATCTCTTTCTAGCGCTGAAGCTCACACGTCTGCGCACCGCTTCTGGGATCGCTGACGGAAAAGGCGAGCATTTCCTCTCCAAAAGGGCGTTGCAATTCCAGCCTTGGTAGCTTGGATCTCTTGGTTCTGGATGCTGGCAAGGGGCGCTATTATTTTTGAAAACCATCATTATTATTTCCTCGTCTGGGTGCCATACACAACACACTGTGCAATGCCATCTCAAGGGGTGGGTTAAGCAGCTTGGGCAGGGGAACGCACACTCCAGGCTGCTGAGTTGGGCAAACAGTCACGGTGCAGATTTCAAGTTCTTGCACCCCATCCTCTCTGCCTTGGTGGTGGGGGAACCAAAAACCCCAAACCAAACAAACTCTATGGTTTACAGAGCTTCCCTCCCCCCTCCCTCCCCCTCTTCCTCCCTTCCTCCTTCGGTCCTTCCTTCTTTCCTTCCTTCCTTCCTTTTAGAATCTGATTTACTTGTTGCCGGCTTAACCGCTGCTGAAAATAGAATAACTTCTGCAGAGTGATCTTGTGCGATCCTCCTTTTTAACCCCCACCCCCCATCCTGAAGCATTTTATGGGAAACATTCGAATAGGCTCGGCGGTGGCAGGTTTGTCTACAGCCGGCACGGGCCTCCGCCTTCGGTGCGCCTTGTTTTCAGATCAGTGCTGTCGGCAGACAAAGAGCCCAAATACCCCGGCCGGCTGAAGCCAGGCGCGCCGGGAGAGCTCCCGGGCTCCGGGTACCCGCCGCACAGTCCTGGGCCCGGGCCTCCAGAGACACATGCGTCTGCTGGCATCCTTGGAGAGCCTGCGGGGCGCGCAGACGGGGTGGCCGAGCGCCCAGCCCGCTGCATCCAGCGGTTATTTTGCTTCGTCCATTTGCGAGCAGAGACTGCCTTGCAAATCTCAGTGTACCCACAGACAGGTTTTCAGCCTTGAGTGGGAACCGCTGCCCCCATCAGCCAAGGGAAGCTGGCTTTGCAGCCTGGGGCGGGGGCGGGGGCGGGGGCTGGGTGCGGGGCGGTGGTGCAAACCTACCAAGATTTCCATAATTTTCCCAACCCCCTATGCCATCACCTCAGAGGACATTCGCTGCGTCTTCGGAAATCTGCCCAGTGTGTGTGCTCCTAGGCCAGAGGAATTCTCCCCAGAGAGCAGATCTGCAGGCTCGAGTCGTGCAGGTTTGCTGCGCTCTCCTCTTTGCCCCGGATGCATATGTAATCACAAAGAGATACATGCATAACATATAGATGCATATGTCTGCATATTGTGTCTATGCATGCATGTATATATACTATATGCACAAGACATTTCTGTACTACTGGAAGTGCCATTTCATTAGGAATCTGATCCAATACCCGCCCGCGCATGTCAATTTTTGGGAGGCACAGTGAAGGACAGTGAGCGGAGCAAGTTGCCGTTAGCCCTGGATTCTCTCTTTCCCCAACGTTTCTGGTGTGGAACCCAAAGGAAATAGTGGTTTACAAGGAACAAGTCTGATCTACCTTATATGTAATATTAGAGATATACATACATATATACACATACATATATCTGGATCCTCGTAATAAAAGAGGGATTGGTAAGTGTTGGGCCTTGAGTCCTAGGGTGATGTGGACTTGACACTTTCTGGGTACACTGCTTAGGATCCTCCACATTATTTAACTTGGCAGCTGGTTAAACTCCGCGGTGGAGCCTGCCCAAAGGTATTAGCATTAAGTGCTGAGAGCAGGAGCTAAGCCGGCAGGGAAAGGTGG